TCTCAGCCATGGGGCGTGATTACTGCGGCGCCCAACACAATCGAGCGGCGCACAAAAACACGGACCGAGCGGCGAGCCGCCGCGCCAGAGTCGCATACAGCAGGCATGACAGAAGAACAGGCAATGGACGGAAGAAACATTAGGGAGAACCGGTCATGGCTGAATGGTGGGTTGTCTACTGACTCCACAAAAGTACCTTGGTTACTCATTTGAGAAAATCGCCGAGAAACACACGTTTACAACTTCCGGCGACAAATCGTCGGCTACTTCAAAGCCAAGCATCTCAGTCCTCCAAGGTCCAGCGCAGGATTCCAAGAATCCCGACCGAAGGACGCGATTGATTGGCCGAGCGGCGACTTCGGCACTGAGAACGGCATCGACAGCGACTCCGACGGCCCGGCCCGAACATATACGTCACCCAGATGGGTTGACACGTCATTACATGGCTATTGTGACGTGACGTCTGTCCTCCGGTTGTCGTAAAAGAGCGGCATCAGTCAGTCCCGTTGGCGGGACGATGGCGAACAAGGTGGGAAGGGTGGGTCCGGTGTGAGCTGAGAAGGAGAGGAGGCGAGACGAGACCACCCGGGTGGTCGGAGTTTAACGGTGCCTGCATAGATAAGCCATGCCACGTGCATGCATGTTGAATGGAGGAGTTAAGGTGAGGGAAAGGGAGGCTGCAAAAGTTCGATGAATTCGAGATCGAACCAGTGAATGATATTAAACGCGAGAGAACTTCCTGAAAGGCTCATTCACGTGCCTGAATGTTTTGGCCAAAATCGGTATTTGTTATCATTGCGCCAGCTAAAACATTTGGTGGCAACGGGGCTAAACGTAAGCAACATCTAAATGGCACCCTTCAAACGCACATTGCTATTGCTAATATGTTCACAATGTGGCGCGATTTCAAAAGCATAATTTGTTTCTCAATGTTACAAGCACTTGCTCTATTATTTCTGGGAACCAGAATGTAAGAGTCGGTCGTTTTGTTGTGAAAGCGCACCAGGGAATTCTCTAACGGACGAGCACACCATTTCGGAAAGCCATAGCCGCATCCAAATGGAACCGTGCATTTTCGCCACCTCCATTTATTTTCATTGCAATCGTAAATGCCACTCGGAAATGACGCTTTTCCACAGAGTTCTAAATTCGAAGACACATTTTAGCCAAAGCCAATCGCACTTTGACTATAAATCGTCTGAAGCCGATGCGGCTCCGCAAGCTTTTGAATATTCCGGACATAGCCGTCCATAAGATTTCCATTCTGGTGAAGATGGCTAGTTTGTCCGTCCATGTTTTAGCCGTGGAGGCGGGTGGCGAGCCTCAGGACATCATTCATATATCACGTAGCACCGCAGCCTCCTCCCTCAAGCTCCGCCTCACCCCGCGCGCTCTGCGCCGCTCCACGCTCGCACTGCGCCGCCATCGTCGCCGCGACATGCCGGCCGCGCCATTACCGCCGCTTTACGAGACGGCCGCGCTGCCAATGCCGCTGCCGCGCCGGATTAGTGACGTTCCGGTATTTATACGTTGATCGGACGATGGGTCATTAGAAAGAAACGATGAGTCGCCTCTCTGGGGCGCCCTGACGACGCGTAGGACGGCGAGCGGTGAAGCGGCGGTGGGGCGGTGGAGCGGTGGGGCGGTGGGGCGGCGGGGCGATGAGACGGCTGAGCGGTGGGCGGTGGGCGGTGCTGGACGAGTTAGAGCGGCGATAAATCTGACTAAGCCCCTCTAATGTGGCGCTAGTCCGTGAAGTGAGGGCGGCTAGAAGCGGCGGATGACTGACCAGCGAGGGTAGCCTTCTCCGGCTCATCCCGTCAGAATGGTTATGGCCAGCTGCTAAGGAAGAACCGTACAGGAATGGTGTACAGACGGAATCAACAGGCAGACAGCATGACTATCGGGACTTTACATTCATCAACCTTGGATGAATGAAAATGTTCAAAGAAAGTGGGTTGAACAAGCAAGTCATATTCTTCTTACGTCACGCTTTAAAAAATACTCGGGTTGCTCTATGATATTTCCTCACTTGAATGTATCGAAATCTGATATAAAAATATTTGATTCGGTCATGCAAGGCAATATGTTGCAAGACTGCTTATAGACCGCTTTTGAAGTATATCACTTAACCACCTGCTAAGGCCGTGGGAAATTCATCATCGACGATAATGTAGCGATTTGGATCTTCGTGCTAACACCAAGTATTCGGTGTTGCGCCCTCATTACAGATTCCGCATTACCGTCGCCGCTAAATTCATGAGCGGAGGTCGTTCATTAGTGTACTCCTTGTTCCTTGACCGCTTACATGGGCCGCCTACCTTCAGCTCATTGCCGCCGGTCGTCCTATCTAACCCGAGGTCATGGCAAAACACCACCTCGACCGTTTCTGCTCGTAAGATAACGTAAAGACAGCGCGGCGGGGCGGTACAAACGACTCGAACCGCATCTGACAGCGCTTTCTCAACATTTTGATCCACGTCCCATCTCTGTGGATAGCCGGCGACGCGGTGTGATGTGACAGCTTCACCCAGATGGCGGCCGATGAAGTGAAGCGGAAGTGAGGTGCGTCGGACAGCCGGCCTAGGTCGGGGGTCCGTCAGAGCCGTCACGTCCATCAGACCCCGAGCGGAGCCGAGATTCCCAGATGGACAGATAGGAGACGGCGACCTGCCGCCGCTGGGATCCCCGTGGGACCGGCCCTCGCTCCAGGCCGACCTTCCCAGACCGGCCGGGAACTGGAGTGGACGTCACATTCCGCCCCGGGGCATTTTCGGTCCCATGTTCGGACAACACAACAGGGCGAGACGTGTGTCAGAAGGGCTTCATTGTCACGTCAGCCCCATCAGCCTCACGCCACGCCCACGTCATGCCGACGTCATCACTCCGCCATGAATCCATCAGCCTTCATCTGCCGTCCGACCCATGTCCTACAGGCACCCCACTCTCCTATCGGGGCCCTGTCATCGGCCGATCGTCCAGCCCTTCCATTTAGATATCGGCCCACATGTCCAGATCGCGCCGGCCGGCCATTTTACATCCGTCTCTGACAGGCGACAGGCAGTGGCCAGCAGCCGATCGCCGCAGATTCCGGGCCAACAGGGGTGGCGGCGTCTCTGATGTCGGCCCAGCTACCGGAGCGGCGGGGCCGTCCAGTCCAGGTGCTGGGTTGTCTGATCCCCCGGACGAAAAGTGGATGTTACTTAGGAGGAGATGGAGTCTCGGGACTCGGGTAGAGGTGTAATGGGTCAGAGACGGGTTGGGAAAATGCCGAAAGCTATGCCTGAGAGGCGAGCGAGTCGCTGTGAGAGAAGAAACGAGAGAAGTAGACAAGAGACGGGCTAAAAGATCGAGTGAGGGTAGACCAGTCGAACTGAGAACTAAAAGGCAAAGATAAGGGCTGGGAGACGGCTCCAGGACAGCACCAGGCTGAGATGCCGACGAGGCAACTCCTGAGATGAGTAAAACCGGGGCCGGACTGGGATGCGGGCAAGAGACGAACGAGACGGTCCATGAGACGAACGGACCGGGCAAAAGATGGACGGGCCAGGCGGTGCGAGAGACGGACGAGGCGGGCCGCTGTCAGCACCATGGCTAGCGATAATGATAATGGACTTTCACCTGGGGCCGGCATTAAATCAGTGCCGGGCGGCAAACAAATTCCGGTCCGGTTCAGTCAGCCGTCTAATGGGGCCGATTACCGGGCGCTGTGCGGGGCCCGGTCCGGCCGTCCGACCCGCTACTGCGCCCCACTGCGTCCCGCTGGGTCCCACCGGCCCCGGCCCCGTCCCAGCGGCCAGCACCATCCGTCTCTGCCCCTGGGGACGCGCTCACCCGGCTGACCGGTGGGGCCGCCCTCCCGACGGTCGGACATACCTGGGGGTAGCTAATGAGGACAGGCCGGCGGCGGTGCAGAGACCTGTATTTATTGTGCGCAGAGCATAACAACCTCTGAGTGACGCACTGACGATTGGATAACTGCTCTATTAGGACCGCAGAGTCGCGGCACAGTGCGACTGTCAACACGTTTACGTAGGTCGCAAATTGCTCGCACATGGCCAGGGGAAAGGGGCAGCAGCGATGGTTCGGACGCTCCAGCCACCGAGCAGCTGGGTCGACGAGTGTCGGACGAAAGGAGGCAATCAGCACCTGGCGCCGTGGGAGGAATTCGAGCGGGTTGGCGCGCGGAGCCCCGCTGCGCGCCTCACACCTCTATACAGTCGGACAGAGCGAGCTATCGTGGAACGGTCTCGGTTAATGTGATAATCGGTCGGCGGTTTCGGACGGGGCCGATTGACCCGAAGATTGATGGAGCGTAGGACCTGGTTACCGAAAAACAAATGGATGGAGCGGACGATTTAGCATAACCGATCTCTTGGAGGAGTGTCGAGAAATTAGCCCTCCGGCGTAGCTATTCTTTTCTTAATGACGCGCGAACGAAAACGTTATTTATTTTAGATCCACAGATAAAACGTCTCTCTCGGTCGAAGATAAATGAATGCCACTGATGGCATTCTGGAACAGAAATTAAAAGAGATATAATTTAGCATCATCTTTTTGTGAGGCATAAGACAGATATGTTTCCCAAACAACTTTCACTTTAACATCTGTTCAAATCGTGTCAAGGATATGAAACTATCAAAATGATGAACGAAATTGTATTAGTGTCAATCCTAAATCATATAAGCAGCCCACAAGGAATGAAACGGACAAAAACAATCAGCGATTACTTGAGGAAACTATGGAAGCCAAATGTAAGTAACTACGTTAGTACTGATTACCTTACTAGCCTTCTATGTAACCTTCACGTACATCCTGTTTTTAGCGATAAAAAAATCAGTCCTTCATTTCACCAACCATGGTTCCAACAGTTGAGGTAGGTGTAGCAGGTCCCAGCCCCAAACAACACCGATGACCTTTGAAATAGCGCAGCGTAAAAGGCAGCACCGCGACCTAGTTGGGGGCGATTTACGGTCAGCCGTTCGGGGGAGCACACTCACAGTTTTTGCAGGTTTCCCAGGCTAGCGAGCAGAGCGGCCGGCAGATGACGTATGTGGTTGTTGTTTAGCCTCCTGCAAACAGACCGCCAAGTCAGCAATTACAGTCCTACGACAGAGAAAAGAGAAACATTTACAAATGCAGGATAAGCAACAGAAAATATGTAATCAAATTTATCCTGGCTGAACTTTCCGCTCAACGAACAGTTAAACTGTTTTAAGTGAGTCATAGGTATTTTCTGGGGGCTATAGCGACACAGCGATGCATGAAAAAAACTGTCACCTGCATACTAAACGACACGTGTTAGCATTCGTATAAATAAAATGTGTTTTACACTAATGCCAATGAAACGAGAAATGACTGTTACGAAACCACAGCTGTACTGCCAGGGAATTCCAGAGCTTGAGCACAAAAAAGTACGGTCATGTTGTTCCGTACCTATTCTTGTAAAAAAGTACATGTATCCTGAACAGCGGACTGGTTTGGCATTTTCCACCACAGCTCTGCATTTCATAGAGCGAAGCGGTCTGGTGGCTTATCAGATACCCACCTCAGATCTGACAAAAAAGAAAATATGTGCGTGGAGCGATTATTACCACAAAAGGGCGAGCGCAGCCTCGACCCTGCGACCGTGACAACCAAGACAAAAGAGAGAGAGAGAGAGAGAGAGAGAGAGAGAGAGAGACCCGGCCACGAAGGCCAAACTACTAAATTGAGAAATACGACCTACCACATGACGGGAGTGATATATTCAAAAAAGCATAATCTAATCTGATTACACGCAGCTTCATTTCTGATGGATTTTCATCGCTCCGGTGAATATACATCCGCTCCGAAAAGCAGCGTGATATTCAAATTGCGTGTGATCTTGCGTGCGAGTGCCGCTTTTTCGTTGGACCAAAGCCAGCGCTGGCGGTCGGAAGCACCGACCCAATCAAACTGACCAGAAAACCGCTAGTTCTGCCGATACCGATCTGGCAAACTGAGGCCGCCGCCTAGTGCGTGGTCTGTTCAGAACCGGCAGACGGCGGGCCGCCGGCCTGCTATCAGCGGCAGTCGACCAATCAGCACGGTCTGCTCCATTAGGCGGTCAACGGTGACGGTAAACGATCCAGTTCGACGAACAGACGCCTTTGAAGCCGGTGCGTGGGCCCGGCCGGCGTGCGAATCTCGCCACGGACGATCAGACCGGTTGTAAACCGTCATGGAGAGATATAAACTGTCCAGTCGGCGATGGCCAAGATCTCAGCAGGATAAGTCATCTCCTAACTGATGAAAGTTTCCATGGATGAAGAAATGATGACAGATTCAGCAGCAGCCCAATCGGTTGCATTATGAACAGATTGACTCACTCCACACGTCTTATCGACCTGTCAAAAGTTCCCTGTTTGCCAAGTGCTGGAAGTGCATACAGACCCTGTGTCTCACTGTGGGTTCTCTGTTGACACAGCGTCGCGCAGCGCTAGGCGTTCTCAGAGCGCCGCGGCGGCGCCACCTTGGCTCGATCAACCCCCTCGCCCAATCGTCCGGCCGTTCAGGCAGAGCGTCTGACTCAGCATACCTGCGCTGACCTCTGTGACCTGCCGGCGACCGCGTGGGAACTCACCGCACCAACGCGGGCCCATCGGGGTGTCCGAGGTGTCCAGGAATTTGGCTCGCGTGCGGGTCGGCGCTACTGTTAACCGGTCTGTTCATCAGACTCCAACTGTACCGGCGCAAGCCTCCCGCACTCCAATGCTACTCAGACTCGGACTCAGTCTGAATTATTGAAGTCGTCTGCAATATACTCGCGGCTATATTACTGCCCCGGGTGTAATAACCGCGGTGCTACTCTGACTCGTGCTAGTTTGTGGTATATCCCCGTGTGCCCATTTGCCATTTGATAATCATCCGTAATTCTCAGCTACATTTGACCCCTCGTGCTACCCGTGCTCTCCGGCGCTGCGGGTCTCACTCTCAGGGAGATCGGACGGATGTCTCCGGCGGCGGCAGCCAGGCGCCGCCGAAGCAAACACCCAGCTCTGTTATGCCAGACCAGCAAACAAACAGTGGTTTCCGCATGACGTGTCCGGAATCTGATGAGTGGGCCGGCGAATACCACAGACTGCCGACACCGAGAGATTCCTGCCCGACAGGTTATAATCACAAACGAATCAAAGGTAAATCATGGAAGGATCCTTCTGCAGGCGAGCTTCAAAAGAAATATGTAAAATAGAAAGGTGGAGACGCGAAATGCAACATCGCCCATCGAGAGTAGCCGAGCATAAACCACAATTAGCGCAGGGTCGGTAATTAATTGCAACCCGCAGGTAGTCAATAACTAACAGTGCGCAGTTAATTACCGACTCCGACGCGCCCGAAAGTTAGTCTAGCTGCCATTGGAACCCACTCAATTAATGGCGCTCTGGCTATAGGGCTCTGGGTCTGCAGCTTCAGGAAATGAATTTCACATAGCGCAGCTCTCCAGACATCTGCATTCCATTTCTCTGTAGGATTTCCTGTCGGGGCAGCGTTTGAGCCGTTTGAGTGGATTAGGTCCCTCGCCGGGTGCAGCCGCTTCCCTCTGAGGACCTTTGTGCCGACTGCTGGGCGCCATTCGGTCGGATCAGACCCTAAGCTGTTTGTCCAATTACGACTGAAGGCAGGAGCGGCAAGAGATGTATATGGAACGCTGTTTGCGTGTAGTATGCGATTTATATTTAGCCGGAAAGTCGGTCGGTGCTCGTTGAAAATTGCTCAGCAGTTTGCGCTCGACGACAGAACTTCGCAAACGTTCCTGGCGACCACTTCGGTGAGTTCGTGAACGATTAAGTGAGCAGTTTGTGTTTCCTGGCAATTTTCTTCCCACTGTCTGGTCCAGCCTGACAGATACTGATTGAGTGTCTTTGATCGAGTTTACGCACAGCCCGGGGTCGTCTTTAGAGTCAGACAGAGAAATATCGCAGCGATTCGTTCCGATAATTCATTACACCCAGATAACATAAGACGATTGAATGCTTTGGAAACTTCAAATCGGCAGGAATGTCTGAACAATAGTAATAGATGGTATTTGGGCACGAGGGTAAATGACCTTATGACTCAAACTTTATCTTTGAAGTTGGAAGTCGGGGTATGAATTGATAACTCGGAGTGACAAATGAGATGATAGCTTCCATTGATATTCTGGGAGATGCCTTCTCATTGCAGATGATATCATTAACCCCAGGATCTTAGACTAAGCACCGATTGGTCATAACGACAAAGAAATGCGGATATAAGCGGGCTAAGCGACCACCTATCAGTAGTCACTGGTCATTACTATTAAGCACGGATTAGAACAGATTACAAGAGCATAATTGGCAGTCGAATGACGCCATTGCATTGCGGCTCGGTAAACGATTCCTATTTTTCTGTCAATCAAAACGGCTGGGAATGCCTGACGGTGACCGTTTGAATCCAAGAAAATCATGACTTGCTCGGAACTATAATGATTATGAATGCGCATAAAACAGAAGTAAATACAGTTCTTCCTGGCATGAATTTCGTTTCACAGACGGCAAGGTGAGCGGGTTTTTGTCATTTTTAACAAAGCCGCACCACTTAACCACGCCGGCAGAGGCAGCAGAGTGTATGCCGGTCGTCGTGCGCGTCCTATCAGGCGCGTATCGCAACTGCGTCGGCCAGTTAAAACTATTACGGCCCTAACGAGATTCGTCCATTAGAGGAGGCGCCGCGGAGCATCCGACTGCGTCTGACGGCTCCGTATCACACGGGAATGCTGCGCTACGACTGGGAATCGGTGTCGGGAGGGCTCATTGGAGATAGCGGGACCGACAGAAGGAGGTGGAATACCGGAAATCTGCCGAGGAAAGAGAGTGTATCGTGGGGAGGAGAGCTTACTTACCGGCACGTGAGAGGCACGTATCGCAGAAACGGATGACACTTTGGAGATAACCTGACCCAAAATCGTGACGCAGAAAAGCGTGGTGGGGATTTGCGCATTGGTATCTCGTGCTGTCATACGAAGACGAGAAATCCTGGGGTGAGCCGACAACGGAAATAAACGCATCAGAGGAATGCCGTACTCACGAACACTCTACGGTCTAATCACAGGATGACATTCGAGCAATCCTCTAATGCGCGATGATAACAGCCTATCTCCCAGACAACCCGTGTCTAATCCAGCCCGTGCAGCGCCCTGGCTACACGGCACTGGGTACTTACAGTTTCTCCAGCCGGGTCAGGTCGGCGAACGACGCCTCCTCCAGCAGGTGAATGTCGTTATGAGCCAAGTTTCTGAAACGAAGGTCGCAGTCTATTAGTGTCGGCTCTGATTTGGTCTGGGCGTGCGGGTTAATTCGGTACGTCTAATGGTCAATGACGGGTGAGTCGGGCGGGCGTCCACAAAAAGCAGCGATGGAGCCTTTCATCGATAAGGCTTTCATACCAAATGCATTCGTTCACTAATCAGTTCGACGGGCACTGTCATAAAAAGGAGCGCACGGCTCTTTTGAGCTGCAAGGACTATCTGCTGCCTAAGGTAGGCAGTAGGCGTCTTGACGGCAGTATGATGTGTCGACGATAGTGGCGCAGGGCCCGATTTGACGAGAAATCTGACACTCTAGTGCCGGCACCACCAGGGCCAGCTTTTGATATGGTAATGCGCGCCGAGAGTGCGCTGGCCAGGCTGTATGTTTGGAGGAGGGCTGAGCCTGGGCGGGGCGGCCGATGGTTGTTGTTGGTCTAAGAGAGCATATTGTTTAGTGACGAGCGCGTGGGCAGGCCTGTCATTGTTTGGAGCTTGCAGATTAAAAGTGTAAGGGATGTTTGGAACGTCTATGCACAAAATAGGTTTAGTAATGCGTATGGACATGCACATACTACACAGCACACTACCAGCTAAAAAACTTGCTTATGCTGCATTTTAAACATTTCAAATATTCTTGAACGTAAGAATGCCACAAAATTCAGGCATTTGTACCCAAAACCTTTGACAAAAATAGGCAAGCATTATTAGTGTGGTAAATAGGAGATAATCGAGAGTTTGCATGGTCCTTATTTTTTACTTATGAGCCGTTTTCATCAGAAAATTGTGAAAATATCGCTGCCCTTCTTGCTTTCAGAATAAGAGAAGTCCCCAACTGAACTGCTAAGCTATCCCGTGTTATCGCCTACAAAAGTGTCAACAACTTCGACAGTTCTCCGAAATGACATCGAACCCCAAGAAAACCCTCCCTCATGGAAACCTGACCGTGATACACCACGTATCCAAAATTCGCACTTGTCACTCATCAGAAATCGTCACCATAGCAATAACGGTACTTCGTGCGATGTATATAGGAAGCCTGCCAATGTAATAGACTGGATGGCAGGGTCAGTTGGGAGTTGTCAACTGGTTCGGCATAGTGAGCCGTGAGGGGGAACAGCAGTGCCAGGAGCGGGGTATGGGGCGGGAGAGACACTCGAGTCAAGGGTTTGTCACACTTCACGCTTGTGCTGTCCAGCTGTTACTCTCCCCAACCCCTCCCCTCTCCCTCCCCACACGAAATCCTCCGTCATATGAGCAGCGCAGCGGTCGGCACTGAATGCCTCCGAGTGAGTCCGACCGCCCCTCCAATTGGATCTAATTATTCTATCCGCGGGGGCGGGCCAACAGTGCGAGGTGCTCAGTAGGGGCGCCGCGCAGTATGAGAAGTGGTGCTCGGATGACGGCGGGTAGATAATCACAGGAGACGCCGAGGGCCGTGAGATGAGCAGGCACCTGCTGCTCTCGGTCATATAGGACAGGAGGGGACGTTATACTCGTACAGGAGGGGAGGTGCAGAGAAGACGCGAGATTTGACTACCGAATGAGCCGAGTGTATGGGCGGATTCTGGTTTGTTTGATGAGACAGGTGCTGCGAGGTTTCGGTAGCCAGTTTGGGTGGTGCCGGAGGACATCCAGCTGTGTTTGGACAGACGACAGTCTACCTCCGCCTACCAGTGGGCTTTACAAATTTGGGCGTGTCCCTCCCGAGCCGTTTCCGACGCCTCCGTCGACTGGCAGAGGAGAGAGTGAGAGTCTGGATAGAGGGCGAGAGTGACGGTCCGGGCGGAGTGACACCCTCCAGCCGGCCACTGTGCTGAGTAGGGGTGTGGCCGCGGGCGGCGGCTAGCCGGCTGACAGCTCTCTCAAGCGGATGATGAATGGGCGTCGGAACCGCCCCGTCGGCCCAGACCACGTGCCGCCACGCCCCCATCCCCCCCCCCCACCACCATCACACCCCACCCGGCCGTCACCCACCGCAGGGAGCCGCCTAACCGAGCGCAAATTCAGCGCCCCGAGCCGCCGGCACAGCCGCGCATGAAAAGGCCGCTGGGAGCCGCTGAGCCGGCGGCTTTTCATTCGTCGCGCGGCGGCTGCGATAACCAAGATTGACGCCACCATACGGGTCGACCAATCTCCTCTGACACTGTAGCCGTCGGCACGGCACCACCAGTCATGGGAGGATCACGCTGCACTGCATGGCGCCGCTCATCAACCGAGACCAACTGACTTAGCCTTGGGCGTGGCACGACTGGCTTTATATAGAGCTCGCGCCACAGCACAGAGCTACAGATCTCCACGCTCGCAAATCCAGCCGAGTCCAATCGCCAAGTCAGGCAAGATCAAAGTGTGTGCCTGCCACGCGCAGCTCCATCCTTCCACCAGCTGACGTCCAACTGAGCTCCGCTCGTGCTGCTCGCCGCCGTTCGCCATCGCTCGCTCTGAGAGTGCCGCTCGGTCTGATAAAACCTTTTCCGTGTAGGCCGGTAGCCGACCGTGGCGATGACAGCAATGACTGGCGAGCACGACAGGCCTGGACGGCCATCGGCAGACCACCTGTGGCCGCTGGGTGCACGCCGCAGAGGTATACCGGTGAGGATTAAAGGTGTGCCGTCCAGCGGGAGATAGCTATGTTTTGTGGCGGTGAGAAGGGCGACTTATTTGATACCTGCAGTGCCAGTACACAGGCGGTACCAAAAATATCATGTCAACAGTGTGGTCCAATGCCCAACGTTCACGCTTGAACTGTTATTACCACGCTGAAAATTATTACAAAACATAACATTCTAGGAACATCATATCATACACAATTAGTTGAGAAACACATCTCAGTAAAAATCGTGAAACTTCCTTCCTTGTGACCCTGGCGACTGATGACATTGACGGTTAAGTCATTGGTACACTGCAATCAAATAATCTATACAAAACTTACTATGACGGAATGCTTGATGACAATAACGTGAGGATAAGATATAGGACACATCACATCGCTGTTTACATACTTCCTTATACAATTGTGGCGTCTAAAAATAAAATGATTGATTGGATAGCTTCATCCGTGACCTCGAGGATCGCATAAGGGGTCCTACGTTTCAACATCGTCGCTGTGAGGGACACTGTTCCGGGAAATTAACTCCTCTCAGACGACCATGTGTCACATGTGCCGAAAGCAAGAGCACCCATCCGTACAGGAACCCAGTAATGAATTCCAGTTTCCGCACTAATGAGCAACTAATAAGGTGGGAGGTCAGCTAAAGGTCATTCGCTCGAGCACCATGGCAGTATTGCTGAACAATATTTGTTCTATCTTCATATATTGCCTATGCTAGAGTTAAATGTTTATCTCTCTTTGTCATTCAGCCAAAAATTGATTCCATTTGAATTTATTTCACTTCAATACCTGCATATGTGATAAATACGGCCTATATTGCCCGTTCCCTGACCTATAGTGCCCGTTTCCGCATCTGTTGGGACTCCCGTCCCGTCTGCGACCCATCTCCCTCTCGTCTCGTCTCTGTCTCGTCCCGTCTCGTCTCTGTCTCTTCTGCAAGTCCAGCACCGTCTCCAGCTCCCTCCCCCCCCCCCCCATCCCCACAGCATACTGGCGACAAGCTCACTGGGCCTATCTGATCTAGCTACTAATGGTGTACGGCATGGAACACGCATCAGGGGAACCACGAACGCTGGACGGGAACGTACTCAGCGGTATGCAGTCTGACGTCATTGGCGTCGCCGCTGTCGACGTTACCCGATTCGGGAATGACGTTGGGCAAGGGGAAAACGGGGACGATGTGGTACACGAGAACGGAGAGTGGGTTATGGTGGAAAACTGGTATCTGAGACGGGAGACACGAGGCTGGGACACACAGGGGACAAGTCAGAGTGACATTCGTTTGAAGTGACTGACGGAGTGGCTGGCGGTTTGAAAAAGTGGTTTTGGATGTTGTCGGATTGTGACAGTCAGCGTAAAACTTCGGGAATGAGCAGACGGTACCTTTCCTGAGCTGTGTTCAAATGCATGGCAGCGTTGTTGTTGGAACCGTTTTTGGTCTTGGTATTTACTAATCGGACATTTAGATTTCATTGTTAAAAGTTTGTTACAAAGAATACCGATGCGATATCTGACTTGTGGCACTTCAAGTACGTTACCGACACAGACGAATTCCGACCCACCATTCTTTGCATCGCAAGTAGACAGGCACACCTTGAACAGTGTCTACTTTGTTGACACCGCCGGCCAATATCCCCGTCTACATTAAAGCCGCCGAGCCGACGGCATGCGCTCCCTGTTTTGTTTCAGAAACAGCACATCTCCAATTGAAATCGCGCAGATGAGGGCGTGTTCTGATTCTCAAATCAGTGTTTGCTCAACGTGCTTCGAGAGGCGCCATGAGCAACAACAGGTACGGATGCGGCCGCCAGCCCGCACTGTGGATGGGCCCGCACCGACTCATAAATTCAGTGGGTCACGCGGCGTGTTTGAAAGTTAACTATGCGCCGCCGCCGCGGAGTCTAATGCCGGTCCTCTGGGAGGGAAAGGCCGGTCTCTCGGACTGAGGCCGCTAACCACAGGCTGTCGAGCTCGGCCCTTCGCCGGTGTAACAGCAGCCCTGTCACGTGACACCCACTCGCTAACCATAGACCTGTCACGTGGTCATCAGGCGCTGCCAAACGGTCGAGGTCGCACCGACAACAACAGACCGTCTTTGGTAATGCTGATCTCTGGCCGCTAGACGTGGGCTACTTTCAGAGCTTATCCGCATATTTTGTTAACGTCTTCTCGTGGTGATGCCGTCGCCGAGGCTCTTGTATTGCGATAAAAAGATCGCATTGCTAGGTGGCAGCTGGCCCTTGGTCAGGCCGTGACTGCAGCTTCAGCTTCATCAAAGATTGCTCCTTACAGCCCAGACCGAGCCAATGTCTTCTCATCAGGCTCGGCGCTGCGTTTCGCCGATAAATCTGCCTCAGCCCGAGCGCCGAGCTGTGGCCT